AATTAAGTGAAATATGACGGTATTTTGTATGAGTTTTATATTATTGGCATGGCTTTAAAGTTGTGGTCCATAATCTGCCGTAAAATAATTTTATGAGCTATATGTATCTTCACTCGTAAATTGAGAATTTTGTAAGTAATAAATAGTTACCATTAAAGTGGTTTGTTTGTTTGAACTCATGAAAAATTCTTAATAAATTTGTACATGTGAAATTGTATCTATTCATGGATTGAGCATTATGATTAATAAGTAGGATCCACAAAATAGTTTATTTATTTGAGTCATTAAAATCTGCTTAATGTATCATGTGAAAATTATCCTTGATAAATCTACATTAGTGGTGGAGGTTCTTAACTAGGAAAAGAGTTTTATCCTTAGGTACTAGTGAGACCAACTCCATTCATGAGAAGAGATATTAGGTTTTTCGCCGAATGAGAGAAAATATAATATCTTAGGTTCTTGTGTATTTAATAAAATGATAATTTATTATAAAGGAGATATTATGTATCCTAGAAATAGGAAGAACATAATATATGCCTTGAGCTCATAGTATAATTATAAGGAGAATAGAAATCAATATCATATTTATTTTAATTCATGAAACTGCTTAAACGGTTATTCTCCGAGTTTGGTTACAGGCTGGTGGTCATGAATTTGACAAACTCCGATTGACCTGAAACTTGGTAGGTTCATCGAAAACGATATAGTGAGAAAAGCTCACCGCTTTGCCGTGAATCATGCTGTTTTTTGGCATTTTGAGGTCGTTTAGATGGGCTTTCAAGCAGTTTATTAAATTGAATTTGTTATAAATATGAAAACATTATTCTTTATATATCGGATATATTATGTTCATTCCTATTTTTAGGATACATAATATCTCCTTTTACATTATTCTAAATACGCCAAAAATAATTTATTTGAATTTGGTCTAGTTTTTTGGCGATCGTGAATTTCACGATCTCCGAATGACCTGAAATTCAGTAGGATCATCGAAAACAATCAGTTAAGAAGAACTCACTGCTATGCAGTGAACCACATCATATTTTGATGATTCGGGATCGTTTAGATGAGTTTTTTGGAGGTTTGGCGGATTAAAGTGTGATTTACATACGAAAAGTCATTCTTTCTATCATTTTATTTATGTCTAATCTGGAACATGATAACACATGTTGATTTGACATGAATTGGTACATGATAAGAATGTAGGTCATATTTTAAATTCTTAAAAAATGCTTAAAATGATAATTTTCCAAATTTGATCGCAATTTTTGGAGATTGTGATTTTAACGATCTCCGATTGGTCTGAAATTTGGTAGGTTTATCAGAAACAGCCTAGTGAACAATACTCACTGCTATGCAGTGAAAAATATTAAATATAGTGTTTTAATACTTTTTAAATGGGGTATTGAGCATTTTATTTAATTATGGAACTTAATCCTCAGAGAAAAGTTCGTGGTTGTGATAAAGTGGTGATAGGAATTAACCCCTATGGTATCTATTTTTTATTTATAGTGAGATAATAAATTTATGCGTTGACATTAGGTCTTCCTCCATATCGGATAAATTTATTATGAACTCAATGGATACAGTTACTAGTTATTGATAACCTGTATTAACTCTCTATCTGAGTTTAAAGGGTTGAATCAATTTTGTAACTAAAATACAATCATGATTAAGTGATGATAGAAATATATTTCTATGATCTTCCACTATTAATTTCAAGTGAGTAATAAATTTACACGTTGGCTTTAGGTCTTCCTCCATATCGGATAAATTTATTGTAAGCTCACTAAGTGAAATACTAGTAATTGATATCATGTACTTACTCTCCATCGGAATATACATGTTGGATCAATAGAACTAGAGCTATTAATAATGATGTTCACTTGACTTAAACAGTATACTCTACATCTGAGTTGGGTCTGTTTTAATTATTGGAGTGAATAATCTGGCATTACATATGTATGTTGCATGAGTAGTTCTTTTCCCATCGAAATTGCTATTCGAGATGCATGAATACATATATGTGTAGTGTGTTTAAAATTTTCGTATTAAAAGGTTATATACAATTGACTGAAAATAATAGTATACTATCCATCTGAGTTGGTTCTATTTATTTTTGGATTGTATAATTCTTGCATTATATAATATACTTTGGATGAATGATTCTTTTCCCATCGAAATTTATTATTCGAGATGCATGTATGTATATAAATATTGAATGCAATCTGAATTTTATTATTCAGTGTTTTGACTTATTAAGATCTATTTAATGTTTTTATCTAAACTCCATAATGACTTTATGCAATTTGTCGTATTACTTGTTAAAATTTTCTTTTAGTGATAAGACATTAATCTAAAGGATGAAATATATGTACCTTTTGTTAGAAGGGATTTAATTCCGATTTCTGGGCAAAATAAGAGATGGATATTTGTCTTATTTTTCGAATAACTCTTGAGTTATTGAGCTTGATAAATATTTTATCTCTTGTGGTACATTAATGCATGACCTTGTTATTGTATATTAATGTCTCTCCTGAACAGAACAATATTAGTCTACCTCATAAGAGAATATGTTCTTCAAAATTGAGTAAAACTTATCTATGCACTTTTGTCTAAGTCATATTAATCTGGATAGGATTTCAAGTTGGTCAAGTATGGACTTTAAGATTCATTAAAAGTATAGGCATTACCAACTTGTGGATCCTATTTGGAAGAAATTTGACTAAAGGATATTTCCCTTCAAAAGGAAATAAAGCTAGTGATAAGCTAGAATGAATCCCTTCTGATTTGTATGGTTAAATGAACATACTCCTAAGAGATAGTTTTGAGTATTTTGTGAACGTTCATAAATGATTACTCAAAATATTAATATATTTATTTGATGCATCGTAAGTCTTAATGATTTAAGTAATTCAAGATTTTTAAGACTTGAAACGGAGAAGCACCAAGGAAATATATTAAGTTACTACAATTTGATTGTAGTGGCGAGCACCTCTCTAAAGGGTTCTTTTGTTACTTATCAGAATAAGGGATTACATCTCAATTGTCTACACTGTAAACTCCATAATAGAGTGTTGTGGTAGAAAGAAGAAATAAGTCTCTTTTGGACATGGATAGATTAATGAAGTGTTATTCAGATTTGCCTTATTCGTTTTTGAAATATTTCCTAGAAACTGCAAATTACATTCTGAATTTAGTTCCTTCTAAGTTAGTACCTGTGACATCTATAGAACTGTGGACTAAATGTAAGCTCAGTTTGTGGCATGTTCAAATATAGGATTGTCCTGCATATGTGCTGAAAGGGAAAGCGGATATGTAAGTTGGAACTAAGAATGGACAGGTGCATGTTTATTGAATATCTAAGAAAACGAATGGAGTTTCATTTTATTGTCCTAAAGAAAACAAGGCAATTGTTAAAACAAATGCATTTTTCTAGATAAGGATTGTTTAATAAACCATGTTCCTAGAAGTAAACTATTTTTATAGGAACTGGGCAAAGAAATAACTAGATGTTCAAGAACATCAAAACCCACATGTCCAAATTGATGTTCCATTGCATTTAAGTAGTGGGAGAACGTTAATAGACATGCTTGTATCGAGTGAGAGTCATGTTTGAACAGTGAACACCATAGTAAGAAGTCGCTAATATTTCAATGTCGTAAGGTAATGAAGGTAATATTAGTAGTACTTCGTCGTAGTGGGAGAATACAAAGAAAAATCATAGTTTGGTGTACACTCTTGGGATAGTTTCGATAACAGGATCCCTGAAGAGTTTAATATCAAACTAGATAGTTACGACAAAGCACTACTGGACAAAGATTGCATCAGAAATAACTTGGCAAAATTCTTTAACAAAATCTTATTTTGTGGAGACTTTTAATAGTCATGTAAAAAGAATGCTTGAGAAAGTTGTAGATGCATGGTTACAAGTCTAAGTGGGAGATTATTGGGGCATATACTATTAACCATGCGTTTAGATATAGTATATTCTAATAATTGTCATGGTTAAAAGTCTAAGTGGGAGATTGTTGGGATATATACTATTAACCATGGGTTTGATTGGGATATAGTATTTATTATGGAACAATTGTTTATTCAATTTTAATAAAGTTTTAAATAGATCATATATTAGTCTGTGTCATTTGCTTATATAGTAGATGATTTAGTATATAGAGTTTAGCTTATACACGGAAAATTAGATCATCGGTTCTTATAAGTATACAGTTTGAGTTCACAATCTAATGATGGAATTGGACAAACCATCATGGATAATTGTAGCACAAGATTAAATATAATTTAGCACAAGTAACAATTAGTTGATGGAATCCATGTCTCGGTTTAGAGATTGATGATACACCTTTATGAAAGCTTATAAATTTTCATGTGTAAACCAGACCGGTGGATTTTGTATCTGACACATAAAATAAGTTAAGCGAAAGTCTAAAGGAAATAATCAATAAATTAAATCGTCAGTAATTTAATTTAATTGATTAGTATACGAATCTTAACATGGGGAGTTAAATAAGATTTAATGGATGAATTTCAAAATTGAATAAGGAGTGCAATGACGAATTTTTAGTGGAATAATTCGTAATTAATTATGGTGGATATTAATTTCGAAAATTAGAAATAAATTCCATAATTGGAAGCCTTGTTAATTAAATTCTGTGGTCCCTGCTGTGCCTAAATAATAAGAAATAAATAAATCTTTTTTCTGGTAGAAAAGAAAACTCAACATGTTTTGAAAAAAGGTTTTAACCCTTAAAACTTGTGCTATAAATACATAAGGTTTTCCACCTAGAGGAGCTAGAACAAGGTGGCCAAAATTTTCAGCCTTTTTCCTAGAAACTTTCGCCCACACGAAATTACTATTTCCGAATATTATTTGGGTAACACAATAGAAGATTGTGGAACGTTCGCGAATCTTTATCATGATGATGATGGAGAATTCATTGAGTTGCTGTGGAATTGGAGGCTCACGTGATAGAGGAGCTTTGTTCACGCTTCAAGAGGTAACCCGTAAAATTTCATTTATGCTAGTTGTCTAAATTACATGTGATTTTGATACTGGGATTGCTTCCGCTGCTTATTATAATCCTTCAAAATTAACTAGTCGTGTTGTCGTAAGTATCTTCTCATCAAAAGTTAAACCTGTGACTAGCTAAGAACTAACTCAAAAATCCCATGCTTGGGGTAATCAGAGTAGAAAGGTTGGTGACAAAAGGATTAACTAATAGGGCTCCGTAAGTCTCCCAACTCTTTACTTAAAAACTCTTGAAAAGTAGACCACCATGAGTGGCAAAGAATGGAGCAAAGACAAGCGACTCTACTACCATCAGCTTGATTAGGATATTGAGTGATGGACCTGAAGTGTCCTTCAAAGGGTCACCAATGGTGTCACCCAATAACCGTAGCTTTGTGGGGTTCCGAACCCTTTGGGCCAAGGGTCCTTGCATGCTCTGAAGTACCAGCCTGGCACAGACTCAATAGTTAAAAGACTGAGTGTCTAACAAAAAATCAAAAAATAATCAGCACATAGATATGAGCTCTTTACCCCAATATACTTCTTGGCACATAGATTTAGGCCCAATTCTTCCAAAAGAAAGTATCTCAAAGAAAGGCAAACAACACACTCAAACAGAAAATGAAATCAACAATCATACCTGAAAACCAGAAACCAAAGCACCAGCAAGAACACCAGAAAGAGTCTACACTCCAAAGAAAATCCCAACTATGAGAGGTGTAGGCATGACAAGAGCACCTGGGGGAATCATTTCCTTAATAGATGCATCAGTCGAGATCTTAACACAAGTAGCATAATCAGGCTTCGCATGGCCCTCCATGAGACCAGGAATGGTATTAAATTGTCGGCGAACTTCCTCAACCATCTTCAGAGCTGCACTACCAACACTTTTCATGGTCATGGCAGAGAACCAGTGTTTTAAAAGGCGTTTTCGGGGCGAGCCCTGGGGCGAGGCGTACTAAAACTCCCCGAGACGATGGTGTGGGGCGAAAGTCTCAAGAGGCGTACGCCCGGGCGTTTGAGGCACGTTTTTTTAGTGAGTCATAAGCCCCAGAGACTTTTTAAAACAAAGTTTGTTGAATAAGTATTTCATATAATACCCAAATTCTCAAAATTCAACTTCGTAATTACTCAAAAGTTTTAAAAAGGAACTAAAATGTATTAAATTTAAAAGTCAAGACCTTTTTTATTGATTGAAGCCCGCTAGTCATGCTAATATCTCCCAAAAGCAACGAATATTCATTTATTTTTTTTACAAATACAAAGAGAACTCAATTCTCCTTCATAGCAGCAAGTTCAAAGTTCAAATTGCAGGTTAGTCATCCTTTTTGTTCCTATATGTAGAAAACTTTATTCTTTTCGACTCAAGTTACTTGTACTTCTAAGTAGCGTATAATAGATTNAGCATATGTAAAACGCCTCGCGTTATGCCCACAACTTTTAAAACATTGCAGAGAACCAGTAGGGAAGCATGGCACCAACAATCAAACCAATGAAGACGTTGGGAGTCAAGACATCGACTGTTGAAATTGCAGCCCGACGCATAAAAGCACCAAACAGGGCCAAGGACACAAGTGCAGTGGAACCAATGGCAAATCCCTAGAAAGAAAGAGCCCATACTGGGTTAGAAAAAAGGAGAAATGTTGAATAAACTTCCATTATGAGAATGCAAAAGATGAAATTCTAATCGCAAATCCGATTAACGAAAAAGAAATCGAATACAACATGCATCATTGTGACAAGGTTCTGATTTCCAAACAAATTTATTGCCACGCTTTTGCGTAAATATGGACAAGCAACATGTGTAGGAAGGAGAGCAAAACAAATAAAAAAGATACAAACCTTTCCAATAGCAGCAGTGGTGTTTCCAGCTGCATCAAGAGCATCAATTCTTTCACGGATCCGGTGGCTCATGCCAGCCATCTCAACTATACCTCCAACATTATCACTGATAGGTCCATATGTATCAATGGCCAATCCAGTAGCAATGGTGCTCAACATTCCAAGAGCAGCAACAGCGATACCATACATAGCTGCGAAAGTAAAACTGACAAAGATAGCTATTGCAATGGCAAAGATAGGAATAATGACAGACTTGTAGCCAAGAGCAAGGCCCAAAAATAACATTGGTTGCAGCTCCCGTCCCGCAGGAGTCAGCTGCATCTTGGACAGGGCTGCAATAGAAACAACGGGAAAAAAAACATAAGACGAAGCGATCAATAAAGTACATCTTCGAAACAAGAATAGAAAACCACAGTGTGAAGAAAAACTACTAATTTTCACCTGTAAGCATTGCTAGTGTAGTACTCTGTGACAAATCCAATGATAAGTCGACCAATAGCCACGCATAGAAGCAGTTGCATGTGCAATAACAACATACGATAATTTTCAATACTGACTACTGAAAAAAGACAACCATACTGCACAAATTCAGAAACCAAAAGAAAAATGGTTAAAACATTAGGGGAAAAAATGGAAATTGAAATGCATAACATAAAAAGATTGATTAGAAAATGCCAGGCCTGATCTAGCCACATTGGAAGATTGGTGTCTAATCAAAAAGTTTCAAAACAAGAACTTGATACTTACCAGAGTTCTTTACAACCTTTTGAGTCCCAAAACTGAAGATGGTAAAGGAAGATGGAAGGCAAGTCCAGGTTACAATTGCAATTCCTACTGTCATAAGAGCAGTTGGGATAATAAGCTGGTTCTTCAGGGCTGGTTCAATTTCCTTGACAGCCTTAATTTCAAAGAAGTCAGTAGCAAAAAGGGTGGTTATCAAGCAAACAAGAATTCCCATAGAACTTATGAGCAGGGGATAACACATTGCAGTGAATTCATGATTAATTCCAAAAGACGAGATGGAAGCGACAACAAGGGCAGCACAAGATGATTCCGCATACGAGCCAAACATATCAGAACCCATTCCAGCAATGTCCCCAACATTATCGCCAACATTGTCAGCAATCACCTGCAAAGACATGAAGGGTAAAATTATTAGACGAGAACTCATCTGGAAATCAGAGTTTACACATGAAGAAATCGTGTAGCTTACAGCAGGATGTCTGGGATCATCTTCTGGGATGTTCCTTTCGACCTTCCCCGCGAGGTCAGCACCAACATCAGCAGCCTTGATGTAAATGCCACCACCAACTCTACCAAAAAGAGCCATGGAAGATCCACCAAGACCATAACCAGTAATTGCCTCAAAAAGGCCCTCCCATTCATCACCATAGCATAGCTTAAAGAGATTAATTGTAATATAAAGCACCAAGAGGCCATTGGCAGCAAGGAGAAAACCCATTAATGCACCAGATCTGAATGCAGTAATAAAGGCTTTACCAACATTTTTTCTCGCTTCCAAAGTTGTCCTTGCATTTGCATACGTTGCTATTTTCATCCCAAGGAAACCAGAAACAACTGAAGTGACAGCACCAAGCAAGAAGGATATTGTGCTGAAGATGGCCGTTGCAAGGGCTGGCTTGCACATCTTCTCCTTGTTGTAAGTGCATGGCTGGCTCTTGGTGCTGAAGCCTTCAACAGAACCGAGGAAAAGGAAGATCAAGATTGCAAAAGCAATCATAAAGATACCCACATAATGATATTCAGTGAAAAGAAAGGATGTTGCCCCTGCCACAATAAGCAAATCACATTAGTATTAGATACTAGTAAACTCAAAAGATATTATGTCCAAACAAGAGGATGTCATCTACACCAATGCTTATATGTGCGAGTAAAGAGTGAAAACAGGAGATAATGGAAGCTACTTCAAAAAAAAAAAGGGAGACAAGGAAAGACATTGGAAACAGAAACATGATAAAGGCGAGTCANGATAATGGAAGCTACTTCAAAAAAAAAAAAAAGGGAGACAAGGAAAGACATTGGAAACAGAAACATGATAATGGCGAGTCAAATGCATAAAACACCCCCTAGGCTACATTGCCCATAACACTAGCATGACAATCCCTAAAAATGCTTCTCCTCAGATGATCACAAGGGTTTGCTTAATCAAAGCAAGTATTATTGACCAGGGCATAAATATACTATAAGAACTGGCCATTTCATTTCTTTTACTTTTTAAAGTGGCCGACTACAAATGACATGGAGTTGCCAGGAAATCATCAATGCGAGTGGCCAGCATATCATTAGTCATTAACCACAATCGTACAATATTTCATCATTATGTTCACTTGTGTGATGGATACACAGATAGCAGTACTGAGGCTGCACCAACTATAAAAAAAGAATGAACTCTGCCTAAATTATGATCTAAACAAAAGATACGATAAAGGCATCTGATTTCAATCATAGTGATAGTGAGAGTCCCTAAACTAAGACAATAGAAGCACACAGCGAATATTTAGCACTTCTGTAATTATGGCCAATATTTTGGTTAATGGAATCCATCTTACATAAGCATCTTTGCAAAGTGTAGACTTTGTTGGCAATATTCTTTGGGACCCAAAAATATTTGCATTATGTGGTGTACATCATTTGCACAAGTTGTATCTCTTCTTTTACACCTAAGAGGCCAAGACTTTTTTGCTTATAAAAGGGAAGCCCATTAGTTCATTTTATACATACCAACAAGACTTGAGTCTTCATTTCTTGTTTCTTCCTTTCTTCCTTTACTAATAGTGTTTTGTGTGAGAGTTGAGTGTTGGAAAGCATTTGTGTGAACCCTTTCTTTGGAGTGATCTTGTGAGGTTATTCTCTTAGGTTATTTGGGATTAATTAGAATGTTTACTCTAATTTTGTACTCTCTTTTGTACTCTTATTGTTATAGTAAATTGCTCATCTCCGCTTGTGGATGTAGGTCACTTTGACTGAACCACGTTAAATTTGTATATTCTTTATCTACTTTAATTGTCGTTGCTATCAACTTCCATTGTCTTTGTTATTGTCATTATACCGTTGTTTGGCTAAATTTCGCATTACTCGGGTTCCCGATCCTAACAAATTGGTATCAGAGCCGGATCTAACCGGGTTAGTTTCAATAGCCAAAATGACTCTAACAAAGACCTATGTTGAGAAATTTGACCGAAGTGCAAACTTCGGAGTGTGGCAATTAAAGATGGAAGCTATCCTAATTCAGGATGGCTTAGACTTGGCGTTGTAAGGAAAGGAGAAGAAACCGGATAAAATGACGGATGAGGAGTTTGCCATCATAGACAAAAAAGCAAAAGCATGTATCATTTTAAATCTCTCAAATGAGGTTTTACGTGAAGTTTCTGTAGAAACCACAGCTAAAGGCATGTGGAAAAAATTGAAAATCTTATATATGAAGAGGACGGTGGAAAATATACTTTACCTGAAGCAGAAGCTTTATGCAATTCGTATGGGTGAAGGTACCTCTATTCTCTCTCATCTTGACACATTTAATTCCATTATTATGGATTTGAGTAATATAGATGCTGAAATTAAAGATGAGGATCAAGCCGTGTTACTGCTTTGTTCTCTACCCTCATCGTTTAAGCATATAAGAGATACTATGCTTTTTGCAAAGGATAATATCTCTTATAAGGATATTAAATCTATCTTAAAATCAAAAGAACAGATAGATAGTGATATTACTGGGGAAGCTAGTGGAACTCAAGCGGAAGTTGGCTTGTTTGTTAGGGGCAAATCCGACTCCATATCCAGATACAATAATTTAGAGTGTCGCTATTATCATAAGAAAGATCACACTATCTCCCAATATTATAAGCTGAAAAATAAAGAAAAACAAAATGAAAGGAAAAATGAGCACAAAAAAACTGACATTGTCGAAGCAAGTGTAACTGATGAGACTGAGGGAACTATTTTTTTAGCAATTAATAATAGTTTCAAATCTAACAATGAGTGAATTTTAAATTCGGATTGTTCTTATCATATGTGTCACAATCGGTATTTATTTACCACATATGAATCTATTGGAGGTGGAGTTGTCTTGATGGGCAACAATGCTGCCTGCAAAGTTTTTGGAAAAGGTACAGTCCGAATCAAAATGCACGATGGTATGGTGAGAATTCTCACTGATGTTAGACATATTCCTGACTTGAAGAAAAATCTCATCTCTTTGGGCACTCTAGAATCTCTTGGGTGCAAGTACACAGGTGAAGGTGGAGTTCTGAAAGTTTCTCATGGTGCTCTTGTGATCATGAAAGCACACAGAT